TTAATAGTTAGCTCTAACTGCAAGTTGAAGCCTCGGCAACTGTGCTGTAGTAATTTATTTTGTTACTATTAAAAAAAATTATTACTAATAAAGATATGAGCAAGGCCTCACCTTAAAACCAAAAAAAAAAAAAAATAGTACTTTTATAATACTATAATCTTTTTAACAATAATACTATAACAATAATATAGCTACAGAGACTTTTTACAGAGTTATAGTACTATTAGCTACTATTTATAGTATTCAGGATCTTATTCAAGAACCTATTTTTAAAATTAAATAGTACTTATAGATACTATATTAAGTACTAGATATTATATTTGAAAATATATTATACTAAATAAATGCAAAGCATTGTTTGTCTAGAACTTATTTAAATATATTAAAGTTTTAAATTTTTTGTATTTTGTTAAAATTGTAGAGCTTATTGAGATGATTCTAATGATAGTTAAATCATCAAAATCAAACTAGTAGATTGTGAGATATCTTCAAAAATAGTTTATTTACTATATTATATAAAAATAGGACTTTAAAAAACTCTATTTTAATATAGCACCACAAAAACTTCTCTTTTTTTATAGATTAACAATATATAAAGGTGTAGAAAAAGAAAATAGGGTTTAAAAAAATATTATTATTTTTAAGGCAATTTCTATTTGTATACAGGTGTTTGCAAACATGTATAATCAATATCTCAACATTTCACTTATAAAACTGCCTTTGAGGCTCTAACAAAAAAAATTCCTTGTTAAATTTTGCATATATCTAATGCCTAGCTAAAATCCCAGGCCTTGCTCTATTTCTAATCTTAAATAGGCTTTGTTTTTTTATAAAAATTATTTTAATTTCGATTTTAAATTAAAATTTAATACCCATATACAAACCCCCAGTTAAACTAAGAAATTTTCTATTTTTAATATAGCACCAAAAAAACTCCTCTTTTTTTATAGCTTAACAATATATAAGGTGTAGAATAAGCCTAAAACTTTTGTATAACTCTAAATAATATGAGTAGACAAATAGAAAATGCAAAGCTACTTTTTTGATATTTTAATATATGATGTATTAAAAAAGTAATTTTTGTATCACAATGTATAGAAATAAAGGTCTGTTACTTTGTTCTAGACAATTAAAAATAATAAATCAATATAGTTATAAACAAGTTAGTAGAGATAATAATAATATCTAGATCTTAATTATTAGAATATTATTTTTGAAAAATACTATAAGAAATAGATAATGGTGTTATCCAAGAGGTAAGTATAATTTTTATATTTTTGAATAGGATAAATATAGATCATTTTTCACATGATCTATATAGTACATTAGATTTTTATATAGTAAATAAAAAAATACTTCTGATAAAACTTTTTTAATACCTTAATTAATATGTATCAAATTTATATGATATGTAGTTTAAAACAGGTTGTTTATAATAGTAAAGTTGTACAATATGCATTGCTTTAAAAAATTTTAACTTCATATATAATCAAAGTTTGCTTAGATTGCTATATGTTTTTTCTAGATAGTACAAAGAATTGCTAATTTTGATTGGCTAAATCATTGATATTTATATGATATTATATGATATTGGTTATACAATATTTATCTACAATCTATTTTATATAAATTCAGAAATGTTGATTCTTTACCCTTTAAGAAAAACTATATACTTATTTTTGTAGCAGTTTAGACAGATAATAGTTTATAATAAAATATATATTTATTAAAAGATATAAAAATAAACTATTTTTAGATTTTTATTTTTAAAAATTCTATAAGTATACAAAAACTTTAAAGAAAAAAAGATATCTAAATCTAATATTTACTTACAGTTTTTTATATCTTTAAAGCTAATATTAATTATTGCAGCTAAGTATATTTTACTAAATACTAATTATTAATTATTAATTGCTAAATATTAATCACTAAATATTAAGTATTAAATGTTAAGCATTAAGTATTAATTACTAATTGTTATATATATTTTTCAAATTTTACTCTAAGAAAAAATAAGAAAACAACGCTTTTTGCTTATTACTTGTAAATCTTTTTACAAAAATTTGCTTAAACAAAAATACTTATCATGCAATATTTTATTAAGAAAACTAATTTTGGGCTCTCTAATATAACTTTATAATATTCTAAAATTTCAAGTTGATAGTTTTTAAACTCATTGCACAAATCACTCCGATGGCTCTAGGGCCAAAAAATTTAAATCAACTATTATCTCTAAAACTAACTTTACAACTTAGGTTACTAAAAAAAGTTATAAAGCTAATTGTTTTTTATAAAGTAAGACCTTGTCTTGGTCTTTATTGAATAATTATATATTACATTGTTTAAATAAATTATTACAGAATCTATAGCTAAAACTAATTTAGTCTCAACCAAAACTCTACTAGAGTGGGCTGTTTGAACTCTACTAGATTTAATTTAGCTATATAAAAAGTAGATATATTGGTTGTAAAAAAAGATTCTTGTCTATTCATTGTATTTGTTTATGCTAATTTGGTGTATAGGAGGATGGAATGGGGCTGTTATGGTGTTGGAATCTATTAGAAGGGTGTTTTGGTATATACTTTTGTAACCCTCTAACTATATATATTTGTATATTTTATGCTTAGATCCTTTTTATTGAGTGAATTTAATGCAGTTTTGATCAAAGATTTCAGTGGACGACTTGTATAGATCACTTGCTCGCCTTGATCACTAATTATTTTGATATGTGAAATCTTAAAGACTTTTCATATCTGTAACTAATGTTATTTAATAATTTTACCTTTTTGATAGCTCTGTATTCCAACATTTTTCCATTAATTTAACAAGTTGTGGTGGTTTATTAGTTAAAATTTATGGACGACAGCCTTTGATAATATCAAAAGCGAGCTATGATAGTTTACTGCTACTTGTTATTTTCCAAATAATTATCCCCAAACCATATATATCTGAAGCTGTAGTAAATTTCCCTTCTTTAAATACTTCTGGCGCAATATACAGAATGACTCCATATATTTCATCATCCGTTGACTGTGAAAATCTCAATGAATGATTTCTTTTTTGTATATCTTATTAAGTCCATTTGTTATACTTTTTAAAATATTTAATTTTCCTAACCAAGATAGAATCATTAAGACTTTTAAGGACAACGGTACAGCTTCTATGCCTATGAAACCTTTGTTTTTTTGAATACCATGAAGTAGTTGGTCCTTCCTTCCAAGTTGCTTTATATATTTTACTAAATCCTCCTTTAGAAAGATATTTAATATTAGTAAACTGTTCATATGGGACATATTCTAGTCTTTTATATCTATTACTAGCCCCTGGTGCAGTAAATGTTTCTTTAACAAACCCGTCAATAGATTTATTGCCACTCAGTGATAACTGAAGTGACAGCTCATAGTATACACAATGTGGAGAAATGATATCTTTGTGACGTCGTCTAATACTACATTTTACGCATTTTTTGATTAAATTATTAATGTGGTTTTTCTTAAGAGCGTTGTCGAAATTAATAAACTTTATATTCTTTATTTAAGATTATTTCCTATTACTATGAATGATCCTTTTTACATGCGATCATTTCTAATTCATTTATTGAAATTTCCTATTATGACTAGTGATGGGCAAATTAGCCTTTTATGTGAGATTCCAAAATATTCAAAAAACTCCGAAACGACAAATAATACAATCTATTTAGACTATTAACTAATAAAAAAACATCCTTGCTTCTCTGAGAAAATCTTGTACGCATATATTGAAGTTGTTGAAAAGGAGACAAAGTACTTTAGGCAGGGACCGGAAAATTTGTCCAAATTTGTATAAATATTATCGCTAATAAAAAAAATTTTGTGACTTAAAAAGGCATCTCTGAGAAAATCTGGTAAGCATATATGGAGGTTGTTGAAAAGGAGACAAAGTAAAACGTTAACAGCCAAAAAAGGAAGAAAACTAATATATTTTTTACTTGCACAAATAACGTGTAAGAGTCACGACGTTAGAGTTAGAGTAACCTAAAATTTTGTAAGGAATTTTTTTTTATTATATAAGGGAAATGTGGGTATTTTGACGAATATTGGTATTTTGACAAACTGAACATATTACAATAAACCGTTTTTTTACTAAGTAAACTGAATCTCATTTACTAAGTTAAGTTGTTCGAAATATCATCTTTTATTTGGCGCAATATTAACTTATTACTAATAGGTTTTTTTCGTTATACGTTTCGGCGCAGAAAATCAATTTACTGCGCCGAAACGTATAGCCAACAAATTTATTAGTTGTCCGGAGCGAAGCGGAGGACTCTTAAATTCCATGCATAATGATACAAAAGTTACGCTTTGATGCATCATATATGAAAACATCAAAAAAGTGTTCACGTGATCTACAATATAATAAATACAAATAAAAATCGTGTAACGACGCATTTGTGTTCTTTTATGTAACTCTAACTTTAAATTCGGAATCTTTAACATTTTACTCACGATCAACTTTACTTGATTCTCTTATTTACATCTATTACAATGTTCAGTTGTCCCTTAAACTGTTAAGCATCCAAATTTGGATGCTTAAATTTTTTTTAATCTATTTTTTTCTGTTTACTCAAAATTTTGTTAAGCTTCACCCTCCTATTTTCTAAGCTAAAATAAAAGTGATCCACATGTTGGTTGCTATATAATTCTCATGATACGAAATTTCTTGAATGATATTTCAAAAATTAGTTATTTAAGATAGATCATAATAGGACTTTGATGTTCAAATTTCATACTAAAAAAGAAATCTACTTATAAAGATTTTTCACATTCATCACACAAAGGTGTCTTTTATAGTACAACATTAAAATTGATTAAAGATTCTTCATGACAAACTTTATACAATTGGTTTTTGAATCATTGCTATAAAGATATGACAACTCAAAGTTCAGATCACAAAGTATATTTCATGATTATTAGATAAAGTTTTGTTTTTTTATTTAGGCTACATTAAGTGTTCCACACTGCAACTGTGGAGTGTGTTGCGTGACTTGAGCCTCTAAAAATCACTATAACCAATTAAAATAGAGATTTTACTAAAAAATTTTTTTTAGAGTTCAATTTTCTTCTAAAAATTTAAGTATACAAATTTGAATACTTATCCTGATGGTTTAAGAGATATTTATTTTATATATTTTATAACAT